AAAACCTAAACCCTAAACCTTGGACTAGCTCCGGCTCGAGGTGGTTCAACTTACTCTCTCAGCAGTGGATGCCGCCTTTGTCGCTTGCCTTATTTGCGTCGTGGTGCAGGGAGCTAGATGGGTTTGCAGATGATGCATATATACAACCTGTGAAAGAATATCTGCATGTGAAAACATGAGTTGTAAAAGTGGTGGTATGTGTGTATATATTTACACATCTCCACTAGCCCAAACCCCTGTCCTACCAATCTTGGTCGCGCTCTCAGAGGGTTGAGGCAGCCAGCACTGAGAACAGGTGTTCAGCTGCTCTATGAATTCATGAATGCTAACAGGGCCGTGCAATCCCTGCACCATCGCTAGAGATGTTCGAAACCTCTGGCTTTCTTCAGGTTTACGCACCTATAGCCATAGATATAGAACACGTGGAGAGAGAGACCTCCCAGAAACTTTGAGAAAACAAGTAAAAGTCTGAGTCTGGTTTTATCCGCAACTATTTCCTTGCTGGAGGAAGAGGGGGACGCCAAAAATTGCGTGTCCCCTTGTTGAGGGTCAGGACTACTTGTAGCTTCTGAAAACTGGAACAAGGGAGCTGCTCAATATGATCTTTACATGGTCGGTTGTCAAATGTCAAGACCCTGGTCAGTTCTGGTACTTGTTTCGGGCGACTTCCAGAACATGGCAAATGTATTGGTGACACTGTTGATAGTGCTGTCGTCCAACTATAGTCACCATGAAGGTCCGCATATGTGTACTCGATATTTGAGAGATCCCTCTGATGACCGGCATGCAAGCAAGCAGAATCAACCTTCCAATACTCTTGGGTGCTCATGTTAATCGGGATAAGTGGATCTTGCTTCTCTGGTATCTCACCTTCACCAACAGGAATAGTTCTGATGAGGGATTTTCCCGGGCAAGCCTTTGCACACTCTAGGTATCCCATCAAGCCAGGTAGACGCAGTCCATGTGCGGTGACAGAGCATCACAGCAGCTCAGCACCATCCTTGGCCACGTGCAACACAGAGCATACAGTTAACGTGTTATGGGGTTATGGGTGTTCCCCAGTGTGCAGCTGAGGGGGACGACGAAGAGCTCACACGCGCTGCTTTGTCAGAACGTTTCTAACATAGACATGGAGCGATAAAGTCTGTTCATATGTACATATGTTTGGACCTTATATACATATGCACACCCACATACATGCATAGATGCGTACGTGCATACATGCATACATACATGTATACATGCATGCATACATGCATGCATACATGCATACATACATGCAAACATACATAGAATCACATTCGGGGACATCCCGCAAGATTAACATGGCACCAATCATCACCAATAACAAGAGGCGGAACAGAAGCGATTATAGAATGGATATGTTTGGTTTCGACTGCAATGGTAATTATGAGGTTTTGATTGTTGGGCTGCTGCGCAAGTTGCGGGATGCGGAACATTGAGTTGATCATGCCGCAGGCCAAATTGAAATTTCTTGCCCGGGATCCTACTCACTGCAGTTTGTCGAAGTCCATATCTTCCATCCCCACCGGAATGCGAGCTCCTTGTACATGTCAAGTCCGGAATTGCAGATCTCGGAGCGCTTTATGTTCGTCATGTGGACCCTGCATATGAAGGACCCCCAAAAGAGCTGGCATTCACAGGCTGCGAGTTAGGTCAAAGGTGCAGGGTTCCTGTACAGTATGCCAATGTACATCAGGGAGGTGAACTACAGCTGAAAACCATGTTGATTACTGAGTTCATGTACCTTGGGTTCCTATTTTGATTCAAATTGAGCTTGTATGCACTCCGGAGCATCCTAGGGACCGCTGAAGAAGCCCCCCCCCTTTTTTAGAACCCTCAAGATTGGAAAGTGTTGCCAAGATTCGCCGGCGAATCGAGCACTTCGCTACAAACGGCAGGGCCTAGGCTCCGCGAAGAGGGGAAAAGATCGTGCGCCCGCTGTGGCCTATGCGGGGCTTGGATCTATCCCTGAAGGAGGGGCTGATGTTTTTCCTGGTCCCAGTCGCAATGCAGGAATGTTTAGTTGCCAATAGGAGGGTCCCAGTTTCACAGTTTCACATCCCAAAATGCTAGGTGTGGCATTGCTCAAGATTCCTAAAGAGGTGGGAAAGTTGTGAGAATGTGCCAGAGGGGCATGCTTCCAAGTCATGACGCTTCTTACAATTGTTGGCTACATCTTCTGGCCCTACTTTTGCACATGCCCACATCAAAGCTCCACTAGCAGTTGCAACTTGACCACAAGCAGGATCGATACTCAACATCCCAAGCAGCTTCTGCAATTGGGGGTGCTCAGGTGCCTAGTCTTTTCCAATCCTGATGCGACGCGACATGTGGAATTGCAACGGAGATGCTGCGTTGAAGCCAAAAGCCCTGAACCTTAAACCATCCCGCAGGAAACCAGCAGTGTAGAAGCCTTGTCAGACGTTTCTTCCATTTGCCTTCCCATTAAATACTTTACCGGTAGCGAAAGAAACGGTTTTTTTTTGACCAGGGATGCCTGTGGGACCCTCACTGTACGGTGGGAAAATATGGGGACCCATTTTACAGAGCTGCTGTGTTTGAGAGATGCCAGGAGGCTGCCAAACTTCAGGTGACGTCCAAAAATTCACCTGAGGAGGGTCATTTTGTAGACAGGCATGCTGGAGGCAAACTGGCCTTTGGAAGAGCAATTTGGCAGACAAGCACGGTCGTGGTTCGGATGAGCAAGCATTAGCTAGGAATTCGTTTAGTTGCCGCAGGAGAGCATTGGTGAAGAGCAGCTGAACCAGCATCACCATGATTTCTAAGCTCCTTACAGTATAAGGTAATCATGATGGCTCTGAGAGCCTCCCAAGTTGAGCTTAGCTGACCCACGAATAGGGACAGCCTTAACTGTTCCAAGCAGCTTGCTCCAACAGCCAGGCTGCGATTATGTACCCGACAGCATGTTCGCGTGGATGATCTGTCAAACTCTGGCCACTCATTAGTGATGTTGGTAATGGGTCTAGGAATTAGGGTTTAAGCCGTACATACCACATTTTTTATTGGGCACCTTCAAGTAAGGAGTCCCCTGAGATTGCCTCTGAGGTCTCCCAGTGTGCCTCCTGATGCTGACGGCCGCCCTGTGGCTTGCCGAGCCCGGGTCTCTGCAGATCCCAAACCATGTGGGGGATGGGATCATATAGGTCTCATATAGGTCTTATACAAGTATCATATAGGTCTTATATGAGTATCATATTTAGGTCTTATAATAGTGATATATAGGTATTATATAAGTATTATGTAGGCAATACATAGGGATGTATTGGGATTCTTCAGGAATGAAAGAGGGGAGATTGAAAGTGTGCACTCACTGGCTTTCTCTCAAGTGGGAACTCCATGTTATCTGAAAAGCTAGAGCATGTCGGCAGGTCAACGGCATTTGACTGCTCGGTTGCAGGGTTTGGCACAGACAGCCTTTTGCCGTGTAGGGTGGGGCAAGTCATGTCTGTACTTGATTTAACGAGGGGTTCGCAGGTGTTGTGCCGTTGTACCCAGGCACCTGACTAAGGTGCACAAACCTTCCGTACACGAGGACTTACCGGGGGTTAGCAGGGAATAAGGGGAAATTCCTTTATTCCCTAATAAACCCACAAGCAAGATGAGGTTGGCTTGCTTGTGCTTCAAACTTCCATCGCGGTTTAGGGTTTAGGGTTCCAAGCACTATCGGTGGTGTTCAGTGCTCCTACTACGGGGAAACTCAGAAGCCTGTTGCAAACATAACCCCCTTCATGTGAGCTATAATCTAAACTCCTAGTATCCCCCTTAATAACCCCTATAGTAGTCCCATATATAGCCCTCTATATAACCCCCTTTAAGGAGTTTAGATTATGACTCATGTAGGGTTTAGGGTTCATGGCTTAGGGTTTAGGGTTTGGACTTGGAGTCTCGAGCCGCGACTGGGGTTCATCCGTTAAGTGAAAGGACTTTATCTGAGCCATAGTCTAAACTTCTCAAAGGGGGTTACATAGGGAGCATTACAGGGGTGATTAAGGCATATACTAGGAGTTTAGACTACTGCGGTATTGTCATCAGAGTAGAATTCTATTTGGGGATACTAAGGTACCCAATGGAGTAAGATTATGTTCTCCTCTTGGGTATAGTATCTTATCCACAGAATAATCTTAAATTACCAAAAAACGTCACTCATGCGTGTAACAGGGAAGCACTGACTAAAGTTAGAGTGTGCTTCTGTCACAAGCTTGGAACAAGACAGAACAAGTTACTCGGATGTGCAAAGAAAGTGCCGGATGTAGGCTATGCCATTGCGTCTTTCTCATCACAGGCATCGCTAGCAGCATCAGCGTCGTCACTAAAAATTCGGAAAATGAGTCGAAACTCATGGATATTGCTTTGGCATTGGTAGGTTCCCTGTTTGCAAAGAGAGAGAGAGAGAGAGAGAGAGAGTCGGAAGCGGTCATGGAGCCCGCCGGCACAGAGCGAGGGAAAGAGAGAAAGAGAAGAGGCACGGAGCAAGGTCACATGTCCTTCATCCACGCTTTCCTCTGCTCGGCCCCGCAGATTTTTGTGTTTTTGTCCCATCGTAGAGCCGATCGTAGCTAGCCGGACTCCAACGTCTGCGAGCGCCTGGACCCACATCTTCCAGTATAGCAAGTGCCAGTCTCACTTTACAGGCAAGAGCCTTAGTCAAAGAAACTGTTCTTCCAAGTTCACTTGGGGCATGAGGCCCAGGCTGCGCCATCCATCTGTTGTTCCAAGGTCATTGACTTGGGCTGGAGATATATGGTATTAGTGTTGCCCTGGCATGTAGGCCTTGGTCACATGAAAGAGCTTTAGCTTAATTTCAAGACTCATGGCTCCGAGTCTGACATTTCTAGGATTAAGGAACATCAAGATGGCTGTGCCTTCCCTATGGCGCACACAGACGAGACGCAAATTTGCTGTTGGTGGACTGGCCTTGCTCCTTGGCACTTTGAAAGAGTAGTAGGTCACATCAGGGCTTTGCGAGGGTGTCTTTTTTAAGTCTTCTGCAGGGATCATATGGAGTAGGCTTTGGATTTAACATGTCAGACCAGCATGGGCTATTTAGATCTTGAAGGCCCCTTGCTCTACTCTTGCACGGGGCCTAACAGGGACTTCAAGGATCTAGTAGCCCAGATTAAGTACCATACTAGGTCGGTGGTATGCTGCTGAACTTTGAGCCTCATGAAGAGCAACGTGGGGAGCTACGACAAGAACTCGCGAAAGGACATCTACTGCAAGGATTAGCATATGAACCGTAATGTAGAAGCCTGACTTGTTACCGAAGTTCTTCCCGCATACTCGCAGCCCAAAGTCTAATCAAGTCTTCAAGTCCCTTCACTACTAATTTTGGGGTTTGAAGATGTCCTGATGCAGCATTCTCAAGTGCTATTACTTTGGCTACCACATGCCGCGTTTAACGACGTGTTCCTCTTATCCGCTTTACGACAAGATTCATGCGACATGTTTCAACTTATGGAGGGCTATGTTTAGGCTCGTGGTGCTTCTACTCGCGCGCCATCAGCGCGGCGATGTCAGCTTTGCGGGTGGGCAACGGCATTTGAACGCCAGGCGACCCTGCGGCATCATTTATGAGTTCTGCCCAGAGCTTGGCTCAATGTGCATTCCCCACTGAATGAGATGGCCCCGATTGCGGTCGACCCCTCACAAACAGGACCAGTAATCTTGATAGGCCCCTGGTATCTCAGAGTCAGAAAAGCATATCAAAGGCCATCACATGTTGCAGCTCCTTGCTGCTAGCCATAGTGAGGACGACAAGACTTCTGGTAGTCTGGTAGGTTCAGCATCGAACAAATGCAGCATGCTTTAGCATCGCCGGCAATGTTTACCCGAGCACACACATACTTTCGCACGCAGATTTATCTGTAAATTCCTAAGGGGACTGTACAATCCCCTCATACGCCCTCTGCATCTGTAGGAGATTCGCGGACACACACTTGTTTTCCAGAAGCCTGCCCTCACATGGTAGTTTCCCAAAATAGGGGGGCTCAACATAGACCCCAAAATGCTACCATCCCATTGGGGCCCCAAACAAGGGACCCCTAATTTTGGGAAGCCCTCACATTGCACGAGCATCCCCATCTCTGACCGAAGGGCCCTGATTTTAAGCCGATCTGCAGCTGCTGGCAACGCAGATCTCCGGGCTGAGATCGGAGGACTCCCCGAGACACCCTACGTGGACCCCAGAGTATGCAAAATAAGGGCCATCTTGGCCATTTTGGACCGGGTTGTTGGGGTCCAGGTATTTCTACATGTTTTTTGTTGACTGCATCTCTAGTACTCCCTACATCTCTGTGCCACAGTAAAGTACTGATGTTTTGTAGGGTTGCCAGGCTTGGCCAGGTGGAAGGGGCATCCTTGCGATTGACATGTCAAAGGGGGCTCAGCTAGAACTGCTTCAGACGTGTATCGCGGGGTATGCAGCTGGATGACGTGTGGCTGTGTAGGAACCATAGGGTTCAGGGATTGCAGTCATAGTGCCGCCATGGGCCTGCTTAGTCCTATGAAGGCTTTCAGCCAGGGCGGCTATTTCTGTGACCATGCAGGAATGCGAGCAAGGGAGATCAAGGCCGAGCTGACCGAAAATGGTGTGGCCTCGTCTGACAAGATAAGGGTGGGTTGCTTTAAATATTCAATTAGGGTTACTAATATGAGGAAAGCCTATTACTTATTGAAAACACAAATTGTGGTAGCTTCATTTAAGGTCCTTAGCAGCAACTCAGGTAAGGGTGGGCTTCAGGGTTAGGGATGTTCCCAAGGTAGTTGTTGGCTTGTATAAGGATATCTAAAGGCGAATGGAAAAGAAAATGGAGACTAGCATTCGGGTTTAGTATTCAGGTTGAGGGGATGATCTCAAAGTGCCCCATATGTAGGATTTTTGTGCTAGGAGGGCGCCGTTTTCTTCAGACAGCCCAGCAAGAGGCACCATTTGCAGGAGGCCCTAGAGCCGCCTACTGCTTCTACGTGTTGAAGGCAAGCCACCACTCCTAATCCCAAAATCTGATGCATACCTGTGACGCAAAGTTGCCGATCTTAGACCTGAAGCCTTTTCCTTGCTGCAACTAAGGTGTTTGATTCATGGACGCTTTTTGAGAATGTGATAGTGTAGGATAAGTCCTGATGGCGTAGGTTTTTACAGCAGCAGGTGGACACGTCTGACCTTTTCGACAAGGAGGATTTGGCTACTCGCTCCTTTGTCGGCATCATTGCGCCAGTTTTCTCTCAGAAAGCAGCCCTCAATCCTGGATACTCCGGGCCATAGAGTTTGAAGCACATTCAGGCAATCTGAAGAAATTTTTGGACGTTTCAACAGCCCGGTCTCACATTGGAAATGGGAACATCAATATGGGCAGGGTCACAGAAACCATGTTGCACAGGCGTCTTGCCAAGACTGTAACCCTTCATCCTGCCATGGAAGCCTAGACAACTTGCCCATGATTGTCATAAACTATACAGCATAGTCTGCCTGACCATGTTTGTGCAAACCTCTAAGATCTTTCAAAACCCCATGAGAGTTATTCTGGCCATGATACTCATTGAAACAAAGAACATGAGGCTTATACGAACTGCGGACAGGTGCCATCCATGGAGCCCGGCCAGCTTTTAGAAGGGTCTTCCTTTCGGGGTTTAGGGTTTATGGGGTCTAAGCATATGTTCCAGCTGCTCGTTGGGTTTAGGATTCAGGGTAGTTTAGCACCGTCTTCAGGTAAGGAATGTACTTTCTGAATGGGGCTACGTATGGAACAGGAAGAGGAACCACCAAGCAGATCTATCTCTGTACCTTAAAGGAGTAGATAGAGGGCCCAGATTAGAGCCACTCGCCTGGAATGGCTTTTGCCGACGACCCGACTGATTTGGGGGCTTCGCTTCTACGGAGTTTTTTGCTATGAAGCAAGGTCTTAGTGCTTAGGCTGAGCTGTCGGGTTTACTGGGTTGCTGGTAAGGAGTTTAAATGAGGTTGCCAATAGTGGGTATATGTTCTGAATAATAGGGTTCTCCCATTACAGTAACTTAAATTTAAGCTCCTTAACAGCAACCCGGTTAAGTGTGTTATTTAGGGTTTAGGGCTGATGCTGGCCTAGAATAAGTAACGCTTCTTCCAGGGCAAACACAAAAGAGCTGATCCTTATCTAACTGGGGCTTAATGGGGAATTAGGAATACAATCCCCATATAAAGCCCCCTTAAGTAGATAGAATATGGGGTCTATGGGGATCTTACTAGACTAGAATATACCCAAAGCCATACTCTATCTACTTAAAAGGGACTATAATCTAGCAGGATCCGTTGGAAAAGCATAGGCTTAGTAATATGGAGCGGGCGGCAGTGGCGTGCAATGGCTATGTGGCCTGAATGAACATGCATGCGTGCACCATAACTCAGTTGCGGTTTCCTGATGCGGCGGAAACCCTGGAAGCTTGTGATCGCGTAGGGCGCAATGACTTTCAGGACTCTGTGCAAACTCTGTGAGCTGATGACCCTCGACTTTCTCTGAGAAGTGAAAGTTTCCTTCCGGATCTTTGGGCCAGACTCCTTAGCTTTAGCTGTGAGCTGCTGGCGGACCTTCATCAGAGGCTCCCGAATGGCTGGCTCCTCCCTGGGATGCCCCCCATCCCCCAACCCCCCACCACCCTGAAACAGTTTACAACAAACTCTTCACGTCCTACGCCTTGGGCCCTTAAACCTCGCGAGTCTGGGCCGCTGTCATACCCAGGAGCTCCTTCCAAGACAACGCCCAGCTCCGAAGCAGGCGACGTCAAGGCGGAGGACGGAACAGAAAGGTTCACACTATACATGAGCGTTCTCAATCTTAGCATGAACTGGCTTTCGCTTAAACTCATGATCCTTTTGCTGGATGACCAGATCGGGAATCATGTTCGCTGGAGCGCAACGTAGGGAAACCTCAAACTGGAAGAAATATCACCGTGCCCGTGTTTGTGAAAATCTCCATAGTTTGCATCGGTTTGGGTTTGTTGGGTTTAGGGATGTTTAGGGCCGGGCTTTGGCACATGTCGAGTTTGGGACTAGGGGTTCCAGGAGGCAGCAAGAGCCCAAACCTTTTGCTAAGCAGAGATTGATTTTGGGGGCAATCAAGGCCTGCAGTGCCCAACCCTAAACCCTGAACCCTAAAACCTATAGCCCCCCTCGAATAGATAGATCATGGGGCCTATGGGGATCTTAATGTCATATACCCAAGGCCATATTCTATCTACTTAAGGGGGACTATAAACCCCATGCAAGATGTGCAGCAAGGTCGAGGACCAGGCCAGAGGATACACACATTATCAAACAACCGCGTTTAGGGTTTAGGGTTTAGGGCTCATGGTGTACTTCTGGTCTGAAACCTGACAGCCACTTGGGTGGTTGTCAAAATCATGGTTCCTCTTTAAGTACCCTAAATATTAGGTGCCGTATTATAACAGGGACCCAAAAAGGGATCATAGTTTCGACAGCCACCCATTTCCGTTCCTGACATCATTTTGACATCCCTTGTTGTCATTTTCTCCTAGTGCCGTTGCGTGTGCATGAGCATCATGTCTTCTCTCCAGTAATGTTGGACCGACCCTCTTTAATGTTGGGCAACCACCCCCGAGGGCCCTCAGAAAAAAATGGGAACCCTCCATAAGGGTCCATTGATCTAAAAGGGAGAGCTGTGAATCTTTCCTACATTTTTTAGGGCCCCAAAAATCAAAGCACAGTAAAGCGGCCCTCAATCAAGGCAAAACAGGGTCCAGCATTGATTCCCCGGGACTTGTCATTGTCCAACACTTCCAAGCCCCAGCCTGGGAAAAGGAACGTTCCCTGTACCAAATCAACACTAGGATGATGTAAGGAATGTTCCTTGGCTAAAGGGGTTCTGCATGTTTTGAGTGCCCTTCACAAGCAGGAGGACATGGAGGAGGCGCCCTCCGCAGAGGACCTCGCAGCCCATAGCTGGATTCTCTTCGCCACGAAGACCAAAACCCCACAATCTCGGAACCCTCAACCCTGAACCTAAATGCTACCGGCTCTTAGGGGCGTAGGCTTTGCCAGAGTCACAGAACCAAAACGGGTAGCAGTCAGAAGTGGAATATTACCCACACCCCTTTCCAGCATGAAAGCTTAATTAAATCCACAAAACATCATGACCTACATGCCGAGGCCCCTATCCTGACGACCACGCAAACCCCAAATTCCCAAACCTCAAATTCCCAAGGCCCAATGAAACTCCCCAAGCCCTTCCTGGGTAGGCCCCTGGGACATTTAATTTGGGGGCCAACCCAGCTTCGCGCAGGACTTCGTGGCGAGGTGCCGGGCGATGGCCGTCAAGGAGCTTCGCACGGCACCGAAGCTGCAGGTTGAGGTAGCTGACATGAGCTATGGTCTAAACTCCTTAAAGGGGGCTTATATAGGGATTATATAGAGGACTACTATAGGGGTTATAAAGGGGGATACTAGGAGTTTAGACTACAGCTCACATGGTGGTTTTCAAGTTCCCAGGTGGGGAAAGTAAAAGAACACTGCTATGACTCCTAGTGGAATTAAGCAAAAAGGGGTTTAGAGTAGACTCAAGGGGGGAAGTGAGGCCCCGATATTCAGAAGACCCTTGAGAAGTCTCCAAAGCACCGGCATCGCACATGTTAGCAGGCCTGATTCCAACAAGCCTGAAAAGAAAAGTGCCTGGACGCAACTTATCCTATACAATTCAACTGCGAGTAGCATCTGTCCTCAAAGTTGATGAGTGTCCGAGGGGTTTCAGGGGCCATGGACTCGTAAAGCTGGGTGGGGGTCAAATCTAGCTTCTCGCAGCTTCGTCGAAGATGCTTGCCCGCGCAGCGGCCAGATCATGAGAATAGTTGGGGCCAATGTTCCTGCAGCGTAGGAATGTCATGGACAGTGATACCCTTATAGTGTAAGTCTGAAGTTTTGAGATGTTTCCATTTACGGGGAGCTGTGGTGCAGCTACTCGGATATGTATATAGGAGCCCTTTGTGCGCATATTTGTTCAACCTGATCTTTGCAATTTGACATTTTTTGTGTTTAGCCTTCTTGGATTGCAGGTGCTTGGATTTACAAATTCTGCCCCGTAGCAAAGAAGTGCTCCATTCAACTGGGTGCCATGGCGAGTCCTGGATCCCCAAGAATTTCCGAAGCGCTAACTACAGTGGGAGAGCAGCTTCATCACGTGAGTAGGCCAGAAGAAACACCCAAGTGATATCCTACAGTTTTGTATGTTTATGCTTACAGATGGCACTTGTCTTTTGAAATATGAAGCCCTTGTCGCCTAAGCTTAGGAGATCGATGGCCAACTCTGAATGTTGAACCGTGCTTGAGCACGAAGCTTCACCCATGTCCCCTCCAAGCCTTCTCAGCCCCATCTCATGAAGCTCTCATCATAAGGAGCTGGGAACTCGAAATATCAAATGGGCTGATGCTTTGGACAAGGCCGGGAATCTGCATTATGAACGAGCATGTAGTATTAAAAGCTCTGTATGATACAAAGTAAGGCAAAGGCCACTTGTGCTTGTGAAGCCGTGTCAAAAACGGATAGAGAAGTGCTTGATGATGGTAGAGTAATAGTACTATTATTAGCAATGGCAGTAAAAAGTAGTAAAACTAGTAATAGTAATCGTAATGGTATAGTAAGAGTAATAACTGGAAAATAGTAATGGTAAAAGTAGAGGAATGCTGACGACAATGATGCTTGTGAGGTTGCCTCAAGTAGGCGATCGCAGCGCTTGCTGCAGGTCTGGGTTTTGCATTCTGAGTCGTACAAGGTATCGGTATCAACATAACGCTTATGTCACCTTCACGTCTTCTCTTTGCGCAAGCCCAGAAACCAGCAAAGATCCGAAAACACTCTGCCATTCCACAAAATCGCACACAGCAAGCCTCACCCCCCCAAACCCCGCACCGCGACTCTGCAAACTGTCAGGAAGACTTGGTGCAAAGATTGGCGGCGGTGCTTGCGAAGGACATCTGAGATAGGGACTCTGGACAATCTGCTAAAGCTGCAGCGGCAAGCGCCCTGTACTGGCTTGGAGGTTAAGCGTGGCTCTTAGTGGCATCGTGAAGAAATGTAATGACCCTAGTAGAATCATGCTAGCTAATTGCTGGCCCCACTTCTTGTCACCCTGAACCCTCCCAGTTCAGCTTTACAGGCGGGGGCTGTGGGCTTGGGGAGTGCAGAATTTTGTGGAAAACTTGGTGTCAATTAGCGACTTTGTCCAATATCCTCATCAGTCTTGGACAGACTTCGCCTGTCTCTTCATTACATGCATCTGGAAGCCCCACCCTCAACCCTAAACCCTAGCATCAGTTGTTTCAGAAAATCCCCCATCCGACTCGCTAACTCGCACTGGGCCTGGCCATGACAGTGGGAAATCCCTCGAAAGCCTAAAACCTAACAGCCGACACCCTAAACCCCGAACCATAAGCCCTAAATCCTTAGATAGTGGTATCCATTTCTTTTCCATTATCTTTTCCATTATCCCTGTACAGCCCCCTTATCCCCCTACACATACCCCTAGAGAACCCTGAACTTTTTAAGCACTAAACCCTAAATAATAAAACCCCATAATCTCAGTGAAGAGGAAGCCGCCGTGGCATCAAAAGGCCCACTGAGGCCTGGCGAGGTCACGCCACTTGGGCTATACATGTTTAGGGTTTAGGGTTTAGGGTTGAGGGTTGAAGGGTTTAGGTAGGGAGCTGCTCCGTGTAGCGTCCAAGGTTTAGGATTTAGTTTAGGGCTAAGGGTCCATAGACTATGAGGGTCTAGCACTCAGAATTTCGGGCTTGCAGCTTGGGATTGGGAAGGTGGCTTGGGATTTAGGGCTTATAGGGCTTCCGATTGAGGGGTCAGGGTAGGACCAGTCCCCTCCAGAGAAAGACAGAGATAGATACACGTATGAATTTGTAAATCGTATACATATGTATGTACAGAGGCTATACAGGGAGAATAGGCACCCGTTCTTAAGAATTACAGAGGCTTGATAATAAGGAAGGTTCTTTGAGGGACCACGAAGTGATCGTGTTGAGCAACTCTCGTTTGGAATTCCGATTCCTGAGTAGCTACTCATGCCAGCATTGAGGGTGGGATTTGCAGCGGTAGGGCGGTTTTTTCCAGCGTTGGGCCAAAGACCTATGATGTACTTTTGAGAACCTGAATGGTTATTCTATTCTTGAGTACTTTCTCGGTCTCTATCTTGAGGTTCCTGGTCTGCATAGAAGAGCCAGGCAGACAGAGGTTGTTGCTCCATTCTGAGAGGAGCACTTTTTATTAGGGGGTGGGGCAGTTACAACTACTTATTACCCGGGTTAGGAGACCTCTGAGCTGAATTTAATTTACCCAGAAACCTTCAAGCAGCATTTTTGACGGCGTGACGCCCTTGCAACCTCAGGACCCAACGTCTTTGTATGGCAAGTTACCTTTGCTTTTGTTGTTCTCATTGTTTAGCTGATTTTTCGTGCCGATGAGTTGCGTAGTTAGGCTGGCTAAGGTTGTAAGGTGTTTGAACTTTCCCAACCGTACTGTAATAGGATGGCTTGCAGCATGAAGGGTAGCCATCAGAAGGTTATGAGTACGATAGCACTGGTGATAACCCAATGTACGGTATTTCGAAATCACTCACTATTGCTCAAGCAGAGCAAATCCCCATACAGCTCTACAATCACCAGATGAGGATTTGTCAAGAATTGCTGTGTTAATTACCAGTCCCTGGATTTGGATTTCTATCGTGGTGCAGATCCCGACATACGTCTCACCTGGTTTAGCCTCGTACCCTAAAGCCCAATTCGTAAACCAAAGACAGCATGCTGTAATTCCCAAGCTCTAAACCCCACACGACCATCATAAGCCCCAAGTCATAAACACCTGCTCCGTAGAAGAAGCCCTAGATCCTAAGCCCTAAGTCACGATATCCTTGGCTGAGGAAGATTACGGGGCCCCAGCTTCGCAGCTGGGCCACATTTCAAGGGAGATGTGGAGGTAATGATCAGTAGGGTTTAGGGTCAGGGTTTAGGGTATAGGTTAGGGTGAAGCAACTTGGTGTCGTTTGCATCACAACCCGTTGGATTTGCGGGGTCCACGAGCTGGGACAGAGCTGTGCATTGGATTCCAACAAGCAATAGTGTTCGGATCCCCCATACCCATCATCGTAGTTTCCAGGTTCTCTTCCATGCCTTAACCCCAATCCAATCCTAGAATCTAAGTAGTAGTTTTCATTTTTCCTTTCCACTATCTCTAAATAACCTCTCCACTAATTGCCCGCCGCTTCAGGCCCACCGGCCCTGCCATAGGCAAACGCTCGTAGGCCACACGCAGAACTCACGCGCAAGGTCATGCCCACAAGCACCAACAGGTTACTCTTATCGTGCAAGGCTTTCCAGGTTCCTGGTGCCGAGTCAGGAAGGAAAGTCATTCTGCACGTAGAATAAGAGCTTCAGCACCTGCAAGCTTTGGGAATCTGCACTTGGCCAGCACTTGGCCAGCCATGGCGCAGAAATATCGTCCCGGCGACCGTGTCACAGTTGCACAAACCCAGCTCCTCAGCTGAAACTTACCTCTGGTTAGCAGGAAAGGAAGGTATGGAGAAGGAACTTGATAGGTTGATTGAACTGGTTCGAGTCACCGTGATCAACTGACACCCTTGCAACCTTTACAAGGCCCTCCAAAAGGTATGTACTTGTTTTGTGGTAACTTTTTTCGCAATGGTGCTCACAGTTTTCATCCGCGGTCTGTGTAGTCAAAGCTCCACGTTGGTGTTGTTCAACGAGTCCTGTGAACGTTAGGAGGTCTAGGGTCTAGGAAAACGAGCCTAAAATTCCTAAGCTGAACATCTTTTAAAAAAACGCAAAACGGGCCCAGACATGACCAAGGCTCTGCGGAACAGTGAAGTTCATCGGCACCACCGAGTTTGCCGCGGGAGAATGGACCCCCGGTCCTCAACGAGCAATATTTGATTTTGTTTTTTTTTGATTTTGCTATTCCGTTGGGTAGCCTTACTGGGGCTTAGCAGCGAACGAGGGAAGATAATCCCTATATCGTCACATCGTCCCTATATCTTCCCTACATAATGGGTTCCTTTATTCCATACTAGGCCCCTGTAAGTAGCAGGTCTTCGAGGAACGAGATCACTCTTAACCCTGGCCCCTTGATCCCGATCATTATGCCCCAAATCCCCAAATCCTGAGTAGCGGCTTCAAAAACATGGAATGGGGACTGTATAGTAGCTGCTGGTATGCAAGGAGGGTCACCTGTCTTGGAAACTCCCAAACACCGAATTTCAATGCCGCGCCCTCCAAGGTGAGCAGGGCCTTATGCAATACTGTTGAGGTTTTGATGGCTTCCACTTCTTTTCCGCTGTCTCTTAAGCATCGCTGTAAGTCCAGGATGGGCATTGAGCTGGACGAGAAAGCAGGGAAGAACAATGGTAGTGTGAAGGGCAAGGCAGGGAATTTCTTGTAATCTTAGTAGTAGGCATTCGAGTTTAGGGTAGTGTGGTAGTCTGTAACAATAACCCCTTCATACTCATAAAAAAACATCCCCCCAAGCCGTAGTTTCAGATGTGTTCCTCCCAATATATACGGTCTCTTATGGTGAACTTGCAATATCAGGGGTGGGGGATGCTTGATGTTAGGCAAGGGTATACTTGGAAACCACTTAAACACAAGAAGGAGTTGCTCTCCTCCTCTTATGTCGAAGAAGGATATCAGAGTTAAGGATTCATGGTGTTTACTGTTTCGAGACTTGGGGCTAGGGATTAAGGGGGGATTAAGGGTTCATGCACAGTGAAGCAGTAAGACATCTATAATCTATAGCCGAATCTATAGCCTACAGCATGGGTTAGGGCCAGGGCACCTACTTCACCCAGAACTACACAGTAGACAGAGAAGCCCTAGACCCTACACAGCCCTTTTTCAGCCACGTATGTATATACACGTATACATATATATATATATTGGTTTATCTATCTACATATCTCATGCCAGATTGCATCTTTTCAGCACTTGCGCATAAACCTCCCAATAACCCATATAATATAGTTTCCATTTTTATTTTCCATTATCCCAATAGAACCCCAAAATACTAATCTCCCAACACAGGCCTACTTTGACTGCAAGCCGGAGCATGGCCTCTTCGTCAGGCCAGTTGACGCTTTCAGGGTTCTGTGTTTAGGTGGTTTTGGTGTACTTTTTTGAGTAGTTTTTCGGTTGGGTTTTGGGTGTACTCATAGTGCTGGGTGGGGTCCAGGGTGCTTTTGGATACAGAGTCCTTCCAATAGGGCCCGAATGTTTTGGTCTATCTACAAGAGGACAACTCTCAATTCTTGGGTTGAGGGTTTACAGGTTTTCGGATGGTTGCTGCATGAATCGAGAGCTAGTCCTGGCATGACACAGACAAACTTAAATTGTATTCGAAATTGCGCGTGATGCCATGGTTTGAAACCAGAGATACCTGCGGGGACAGCTTTTCACTTTATTCATGCCACTTTGTCTGGGGAGTTTCATGTGACCTGTTATTGTCCTTGTTGCGTTTATTCATCTGATTGACGAAGACTGTTGCTCTCCGCATTCCTGCCAGAAGTTGGCATGTACAAATCAATGCCTTGCCATTACACCTTGGCGCCGATTTTTTTTGGTTTCTAGCGTCCTCTTCACTACCAAAGCTGGAGGGCATTGCACAGCCAGGCCAACAGCCGTCACAAAGATCTCCGATCCGCCGCCCGCGGCAGTTCCCGCAGCAGTGTCTGCAGCTCCTACGACAGCACCCGCCTCGGTGCCAGCTGCGGTGCCCGCGGCAGTGCCCACCGTGGCACCGGCGGCGAAGCCCACAGTCGCCAGGATCCTGAGTAGCAGTTCCCACTTTGCTGTTGAAGCGCCATGGGTAGTTTCCTCAACATCACCAAGATAAGCTCAAGAGCCAAGCCGAAAACATAGGCAATGAAACCGAATCCTGAACCCGGAGCTGCGCAATTCTCCACTTCCTTGACCCAAAGCTACAGCAAAATGCATCAGATTTTGGCTAAGTAGAGAAAAGCCAACTTATGACCAGGTAGGTCAGAACCTCTCCTAAGAAGACGATGCATCTTTTTGTTTCTATAAAGTCCAACACTAGTCACTAGCTTGTGGTAATTCGCCTGCCTCAGGAGACCCTAGCCCTAAAGCCCTTGTCATCTCAGTCTCATCTTTTGCCATTTGATTCTATGTTATTCTTACAACGCATAAGCCCCAAACCCGGAATAGTAGTTTGCATCGCAATTTTCCATTCGGTTCGCCATGAATTAGTTTATGCCCTGACCCAGTAGCATTCCTTTCATGTTCCATTTAGTCTTCCAATGGGTTCTTCACGATTCTAATTTCCATTAGGTTTTCCTAAGCCCTGCATTCTGTATCCTATCAGGCACACCTATTTTTGACGTTCCATTGGTTCTTTGTTATTCTAAGTCTTAAGTCCTAAAAATATAATTTCCATGTAATTTCCATTTGATTTGAGTCTCCATTATTCTCATTATTTTAAGCACTAAACCCGTAAACTCTAAAGGCTAACCCGTAAACCCCAAAGCCCCAACACCTAGACCCCTAACCCCGGAACCTGAACCCCTAAACCCTTAAAACCAAAAACCCTGAACCCTTAAAACCCTAAATCCTAACCCTAAACCCTAAACCTGACCTCAGATGGTGAAAGTCAAGGTCACGCCGCCGCAAGCCGAGGGGGAAGCTTCGCAGAGCCACGGCTTAACTCTTCTGACGGCGCTTAGAAACTTAGGGTATGGCTAGGGCTTGGGGCTAGGGTCTGGGATTTAAGGTTTAGGGTTTGGGGTTTGGGATTTAGGATTTAGGATTTAGGGTTAGGGTTAGGGTTTATAGAGTTCGCTGGGGATCCAAGTAGCCCGAAGTAACAATGTAGGTAATAATTGTATACTTGGATCCCTAGGGTTAGGGTAGGGTTTACTGAGTTCGGATTAGGGCTTCTGAGTTTTTGGGGGTGTAGGAGTTTTTGGTATAGCGGTAAGCAAGTTTAGGGGTAAGGTTGAAGGGTTTAGAGTTTAGATTTTAGCTTTGGAGCGCAAGCAAGTGCCACTATGAGGGTACATGTGACGTGTCAAGGTTCTGCTGTGGTAGTCGTGTGCAGCCACGGTTTTTTAATTTGCAGCATCAGCAAGATTGCAGTTTCACAAAGGTTTCATGATGCCTGTGGTGGTTCTGGGGCATTCTTGGGGGATGGGGATTCTTGGAACTGAGCCTTCTCAAGCAACCCAAAGGGGAATGAAGGGTTTTTCGAAGCATTGCCAGGCTGCCCATGAACCTCCAGACAAGTGAAAATCACGCAAGGCCTGATCCTGCCCGCCAAATTTTGGGGGCTCCCAAAATGAGGGTTACCTGTTGGGGGGTAAACCCTAAACCGGAAACCTGCTTCAATGTTCACAGGGTTCAGAACTAAACCTATGCCAGGCTGTTCCTTCGGTCTACGCTATTGGTACTTAGTCGGGAATCAAGGAATATGATCCCTGCATACTATATTCCCTTGACATTTCCTGCTAAGAGCCAGTAAGTTACCAGTCTTAGTTTAAGAATTATTCCCAGGGAACGATCAAGCAGAGAACCCGAGCCGAACAAACTCTCTAAGAAACCTCTGGGTCCCCTCATAACTGCCTTCTAAGGTTCTTCTTGCGGGTCTATCCTATTTGGGGTCCCCTAGGAATCTGCCCTAAATGAAATAGAAATCAAGGTTTGACTCGCAGCCTTTGAGCATTCCAAATCACACACACACACACCATGCTCATGTCATCGTTGCAATACGGCGAATTGTGGACAGCAAGACGCCGTAGGAAACTCATTTTCTTAAAGCCCTGACCCTGAACATGAAGGCCCCTTGGACCAACCCCTAAACAGGCCCCAAACTTGGAACTGCAAGGAAAGCCCCCGCTCCATCAACCTCGCCGCCAGCGCCCTCGGCGAAGTCAGTGTTGTTGGAGGTGCCCACGGTGCCACCCACGGTATCCGGATTGCCTTAAGATAGCTGGCTTGTTCCGGGATTTGTTTGCGGCTGCTTGACACAGAGCTTTTCGTCGGATTGTATAGATCGCGCTGCATCCCATAAGGCGTGCATGGTTTTGCTGTTGGCCGAAGACTGCTGTGTGCATGTCTTAGCCAGGACGGTCTAACCTTGGTTGTGAGAGCTTCCTCTCGCGGCGTCAGCATTTTGGGTTCAATGCATCCAGATCCTTGAAGTGCGCGGCTGGCAAGCCTTGAGCTTTCAGTTGAGAGACAGACCTCGAATTAAACAGGTTCAAACCCAAACCGCCCAAAAGGGAACCCGAAGATTTCGGAGTCATCCCGTAAACAGATGCTAGCCTACCTGCCGTGTGATTTTGCAGTAACTGTAGTATTCCCTCCATATCCCTGGGCATCCCATTATGGAGTTTCCATGGAATAGACATTTTGTATCCAAACAAGGATAGGCAAGGTCGCGATGCCCCTCTCCCCGGTAAGTTATCAGGTTGTTGAGCTCAGCGTTCTCTCACTCAATGAACACAGGGGTCATTTTGTAGGCTGTTCTCAATCATGCTCTTTGTTTGGGGGTCCTCATACTGATGAGCATATCGAATATTTGTAATTAAAAGGCATACATTATGAAGCTGAGTAGGGGGCGTATAGGGGGCCTTGAAATTCGAAGGAGTACATTGTGAAGCTGAGCGTGCCAATTATGACTCAGGTTTCTCCGAAGCGCATCAGCCGAGTGGAGGAGGGAGACAAATCTCGGGAAGTCGAGAAGGCATTTGGAGCTTTTCTTGAGACAGTTTTTGAATTGGAATAGGTGCTATGATTTGAATACTGCCCCCCATGATGTAACAGTCGCAGAGTATGTGCAATGTACGACAGATCAACAGGCTGCCCTCGTTCCTACACCTCCCGACATTGTTACTGAGTGAAGCCGTACCCAAACTTGGATCCCCCCTCATCAAATGGGTTGAGATTCTGCTCTCTGCAGGTGCTTGTAATCACTGTCGCCCCCTCCCCCGAAAAACAACGTTCCCGCCCCCTATATAATAAGAATACCCCCCCTGTAATACCATTATATACCAGGGGAATAGAATTTCATGAGTTGGACGTGGTTGATAGAGTTCAAATAGTCTTACTGGCAAAAAGCCACTGCTGATACAAGCTCCTCCTGCAGGGCGTTCTTTCGGCATTTTCGACGTGTAGGCAGTGCACAAATCCATCAGGCTCTTTTTAAACCCCCGTTTCTCCGTCTAGAGTAAGGGTGATGCCACTACATTTGTCCGAGGCTGAACTAATCGTATAGACCCCACATAAGTCTAGTTTCCATTTCATTCTCCATGCTGTTCCTCAACCCGATTCTCCATGATTAGGGTAATAACCCCAAACCCTGTAGAATCCCTATAACCCCTATAAACACACCCTGTTTATAGTAGCTTCCATTTTATTTCCATTCCCCCCTAAACCCTACATCAGGCTTCCTATGCAGTCCCTACGCAGGCAAGCGTCCAACTTGATCTGGCTCAAGCTATGGAGGCCCGCTCGCCTTTCCGCACCGAGTTTGGGTTACTGGTTGTTAGTAGGGAGTAAGGGGAGTACATTTTACAGGTATTATACTCCTAGATTCCTAGATTCCTTAGGACTTAGGGTTTGGGATTGGGGGCTGCAGCAGGGTGTAGGAAGCATCACGCTTTGTTCCTGTGTTGGTTGGAAATCGGGTCTTTGTTTGTTTTGAAGGCTTGCCGCGCAGCAGCTCATACACACTCGTAAGGACCCTGAGGCAGCACATATCAACATGCAGTTCACGTGCAGGAGATTGGCGTTCCTGCTTTTTTCAGCAACTGCTTATACAGTATGGAGATGCATTTTTCGAAGCAAAATGTAGTCACTTCCCCTCTCCTTGCCATTGCCTTCCCAAACCTACACCCCACAACCCCGCGAACCCGACACCATGAACACAACACTCCCAAGCCCTAAGCCCCCAAAATCCTCAACCCTAAGCACCCAACCTGGAAGACCTTCCAGCTAAGTTTGAAGGTATGGCCCCTAGCATGGGAACTTTAGCTGGGCTCTCTATGTGACTTGTACATACGAGCCCTTGATTCCCTCAAGAAGACGAAGGGCCCGTATGGTGGGCTCGTACTTCCCCACCAGGATCATGATGTGTTTGCCATTCGCCGGCTGATCCCAGCCGCCATCAATCTCGGCTTGCCGCCAGAGGACTGTCATGCTTTCAGTATTCCGATGCCTAATACGGTAGTTTTCATTAAAAAAAAAAAAGCGGACCCCAATATAGACCCTTAGATATTGTAATCCTTATGATGTGGACCCCCCATATCCCTAAATCCGGGAACCCCCATATAATTCTTTAGGGTCTATCTAGGATCTAGGGTGGTTAGTTGGTAGGGACTTCAGAAGTGGGTTTGGGGGATGATTATGAGGCGTTTTGCAGGGATCACTACATAACGTTTTAGGGTTCAGGGTTTAGGGTCGAGGGTTTACGGTTTAGGGATCCGTTCCTCCATTCCCCACTAACCAATAGTTAGATGTGGAGATCAGGTGTAGATCGACAATGGGGGATTCGTCTGCTTGAGCCATATACAGTATATCTTGACAAAATCTGAAAGCGTGTTTCTCAAGTCTAAGGGTCGTGGTTTGGAGTGCGAGGAGACGGGCCCCTCATTGTCCTGGAAATCTTCCAGTTTGAGCCTCCCACCCCAAACACAAAAAACCCTTGACAGAAATTGTAACCTCAAAAGAATGCGATTTTAACCTGTGTGCGTGTTTAGAAGAGAGAGAAACTCCAGATGAGGTCTCGACTTAGCGTGCAATTGAGTCAGGAGGCGCCGTGTTGGCAGCATACCTTTAACCCATGGCACAGTGAGATCCACTCAGACTCTCAGCACTTGCAACATCCTACCTTGTATGTTCACGTGCGGGATCATGCCAGCCTTGCTGCAAGTACGCCGACAATTGAGTTTAGGGTTTAGGGTGAAGCTACCGCTTGCACAAATCTCCACATGCGACGCTGCTGGGCAGTTTTTTGATTTGCGTGCGCATCAACGTCACACCTCGGTTGCGCACATGCACAACCCCGAATAGTGGCTCCTGACTCCACCTGTCTGGGGGGTCCCAATAATGAAGATGATCGTTTTTGGGGGTCTATACTGGGGTCCCCCTACTTTGGGAAACTACCAGATATAGCAGAACGTTCTAAGTTTCTCTCAGAGCCAAGAATGCACGACATATGCTGATATTCCGAACTTCTATGAAATGTTAAATCTGTGCATTTCCAGAAAGAGGGGCCTCTAACTTTTTAAAAGCACATATGCGAAAACCGATGCGAATATTACGACTTATGAGCCATAGCTCCCAAAACGGAAAGCATACCTTAAATGCCTGTCTGCTAACCTAGCGCTGTGACCTTTGAGCCTTAAGGCCCTGGACCTGAAGCCATGACACCGCAAGCCCGTGTGGAAGACATAGATGTTTTTCCCCCAGATGTGCCTTACTGACTTGAGGAAGTGGCTTGTAAGCTGTGGCAATTTCTAGGCATAGTCATAAAGATGACTACATCCCAGACTCTAGTTCCTAAAGCCGAAGCCTGTAAATCCTTACCAATGGATGGGAAGATGCCCGAGCTTCTCCAAACAATCAGTATGATCCCGTATAGACTCCCAAATGATAGTCTAGTCCCCCTGTAGTCCACCTATATCCCATGGGCCCCTTCCCCATGCCTCATCCTCAAAACCGATTCCTAAACCCCTGGACCCTAAACCTTCTAAAGCCTAAACCGCTTCACATCAGCCCCTAGCAACCCCTAAGGCGCCTTGTTGCGAAACCCCCATGTCTGGCAGAAGGAGATTCAGGCGGCCCAGCGCATCATGAGCTGGGAGGCAACACTTTCACCCTTAGCATCCTATGACTGAAGCTATATTTGCGTGGGGAAACTACAATCCCGCAATATAGAATTGGGATTCGGTACATGAATTACGGCTTTGTCAAAGAAGTTAAGCTTTTAAGGTTTACAGGTTGGATTTGGCCTTGTGGAATTGGGGCTTAGGGTCTTTCCGTTTGGGACGGACTTCAGATTGAGGGTTTTGGATTCAGCGTTTAGTCTTCAAAGTGTGGGGGATTTTACGGCTTAAGCTTGGGCATTTAGGATCCAGCCTTTGAGGTTAGTTTAGGGCTTGGTGTGTAGGGTTCCAGGGTTCAGGTGCAGAGTTTAGGGCCCAGGGCCCGTGCGGTAAGCGGAGTTTGGCTGCTGGCGTTCGTTGAGGGCCTGGTTCCATTTTGGAGAAGTGAAGACCAGAATTATGTTCAGGCGCATAGGAAAAACCCTAAACCCTAATCCGATGAGTTCTCAACCGTTAGCCAGATGTCGCGCTAGCCTCTTTCGGGCAGATCTGATGGTGGAGAGGGCTTCCTCATGCGAGCAACATTCTCTCCTCAAAGCTGGTCCTTCAAAACGAAGTCTCTCCTCTTCTGCCCCGAAGTAGTCTTCTGCAAATTCGGGCTGCCCGAGGAAAGAACTGATGAGTCTCGTGTTTGTCCCCTCCAGGCCCTGGTTCCCGGCCACTGGCCGGCTAAAGGAACTCTAGGGTTCAAGAGAAAGGAACGGGAAATGGTGTAGAGCTTAGCGTTTAGGGATCCATTTCTGGTTTCAAAAGAGGGTCCGTTTCATGCCGGACGCAGCCCAGCTGTCGGGAAGAAGCAGACGGGCGGCAGCCAAAGTTTGTTTGGCGCACCTGGCTAAAGGTGCACAGCACCGGCCGGCATTCTTTAAAGACCCTGAACCCCAGCGCCCAGTTACCCTGAACCCCTAAACCTATCATTTCCCAAAGGGTGGTTGGTCAAGGGAAATCTGGAGTACACATCACAACACCCTGAGATCTTTCCTCCTGTGGCCAAAATCGTCGTTTGGGAGCTATGGTGGTGTGGGAGTCTCTTCGAAGCCATCCATCGAAACAAGCCCCTTATGTTAATCATCCTAACTCTTAAACCGACTAACCGTTATAAGGTCCTCGAACCTCAAAGCCAAATGACTCGCCAGGTGAAGCAGTCCATGCAGGAAGACGTAGAAGAAGTACGGAACTCCGTAGCTGCCTTGGCACAGTCCATCTCCAACTTGGAGGCGGGCTAAGGGTTTTGGGTTTAGAGTTTAGGGTTGAAGGTTCAGAGCTTTAGGTTTTGAGATAAGGGTTCAGGGCTCAGGGTCCAGGGGTCAGGGATCAGGGGCTCAGGACTGCAAAGCTTTCGCAGTTGAGGGTTGAATGCCGGCAGTGCTGAGTAGGGTTGATGGGATTTGAAGATGGATTTTGGAGATATTAGGGCTGCAGTCTGGAAACACGGGCTTGATTTGAAGGCTCAGGATTTGAGATCGGCTTTCAGGTGCCGCCTTTCTGCTTTTGGGAGATTTCAGGCAAGCTCTTGCTGTCTGGGAGTCGTGGGGGGAAGTTTGTTTACTCTGTCTACGGTTAGATGTGAACTTGTTGGGCTTGCTAATAGGCAGATGGGATGCGCTTGGATGAAGCTTCAAGCTCCTTTTTTGGGGCGTGTCAGGAGACAAGATTTGGGGGTTTCCCAAAATTATGGGTACCTTTTTGGGGGTCCCAATAATAAGGATTATAGTATTTTGGGGTCTACATTGGGGTTCCCTTATTTTGGGAAACTACCATTTAGTTGGTGTGAAACAAGTGTTCGCACCAGCCCATAGTTACACCATGAGCCCCTTTCAACAACAGGGTTTCCCTTGTTGATGGTTAGTACGGAAACTATCGGGGATCCAACAAGGGGCTACCGCTACTGTATAGGAATCCATTCCCGCAGCATTCCCTACTGAGCAGACTCTTTTTGTAGACTGCCAGGCTTGCTGGGAGCTGAGTTTACATGTGGATACATGCGCGAATGCCTTGGTCCACGAATTTAATGCGTTGGCGCAGGCATTCTACCTAGGGTTACTTTTTGCAGCGACGTTGGATTATGATGTGGAAGAAGGCCCCGCAGACTTTTGTTGAGGTACGCGCTTCGAAGAAGTCCAAGACCGACTCTGGCGCCGTAACCAGCCGACTCGGTGCAGAACTGGCCACTGGGCGCTACCTTAAAGATCTTGCAACGTGCAGGGTTTGCTTCATGTGCTAGATCCTGCCCCCGCCTTGATCCAGGAGAAGCGAGTCTTGCAAAAGCTCGACGCCAAGCTCGTCCAGATCGTTGAGGGTGCCCTTGCAAGAATTCCAGCTGCAAAGCCAGACAAGCCTCAGGCTAATCCCCTAGAAGCCTACACCTTCGAGCACTTTGACCTCAATGGTGACGGGATCATAACCCGAGAAGAGTTCAACGAGGCGCGGAGGAGGATATTGACAGGGCAAGGCCTCAAGGCACCGTCCAAGACGGCCACCGTGCCTCCTGCACGCGAGAAAGTACCTCGGGGGATCATGATCCACCTCTACTCACAGGCTGCCCGCCGCCTACAGGAGATGAAAAAGGAGCACAGTGATGCGGACTTGCAAGCTTCCAGGCTAGTCATCAAGCACTGCGTCAAGAAAGGGCTGCAGCAAGCCCTCCTCATGGGTGCCTCCGCACACGACGCGCTGGCGGAGGCTCAGGCCGACATCGCAGCCATCCGAGCTTCCAAGAAGCGCGTTGATGACGCCACAAAGAAGGCTGAAGAGCGTTTGGACGCCGCATCCACCAAGGTGCAAGCAGTAGCCCGCGGAAGGCAGGTTCGCCAGAAGAAAGACTTGCTGGAGAAAAGCGCCGTGACCCTCCAACGCGCTCTCCGGCGCCTCAGGCAGCAGTGGCACCAAAGCAAGAAGTTCGACTTTGCAGCGGTGGTCAGGGCTGTCAAAGGCCAGCGTAGAGAATGGGCCATGGAGTACCAAAGAGTGGCAAGCGATGCCGGCCTGGACAAACCGGCGTTCGTAGAAGCGCTCGGCCGGGCCTGTACCGATAGGGTGTCCAGCCTTCAGGCAGGGAAGTTCTAAAGCAATGCTGTCTCACGATGTGTTCTGCTGCAGTTGCGCACGCTTTCAAATCGTTGGGTTTTGGTCACCGATGGAAACACCGCCATTAGAACAAGCCTGGTATAGGCACTGCGCATGATAAGGCGCACCAACTACATCCAGCCCAACCAAGCAGCAGTTGCGGGTTCAAGTTTACAAGAGGTCAAGAGTCAAGATGTATTTAGAGGCACCTGTCACGTTTCCAGTCAGAAGCCCCTGAAGCCCATGATCTTAGTCTACGTAGTGCGAGGCAGAGAAGCTGTGGGAAGGCTACTTGCAACAAAGCAGGGAGGGCGGCCCCATGGTGATGACAACCTTCTGGGCAATCTGTGAAGCGGTCTTGCAGGGAGATGTCCAGGCAGCTGAGTTTGCAGACATGACCTTGGAGGAATACGTGTCCTGTGGACCCAGCGACATGCAAGTGCCTTGTATGGGTGCCTCCGTGCCCGACGCGCTGGCGGAGGCTCAGGCCGACATCGCGGCCATCCGAGCTTCCAAGAAGCGTGTTGATGACGCAACAAAGAAGGCTGAAGAGCGTTTGGACGCCGCATCCACCAAGGTGCAAGCAGTAGCCCGCGGAAGGCAGGTTCGCCAGAAGAAAGACTTGCTGGAGAAAAGCGCCGTGACCCTGCAACGCGCTCTCCGGCGCCTCAGGCAGCAGTGGCACCAAAGCAAGAAGTTCGACTTTGCAGCGGTGGTCAGGGCTGTCAAAGGCCAGCGTAGAGAATGGGCCATGGAGTACCAAAGAGTGGCAAGCGATGCCGGCCTGGACAAACCGGCGTTCGTAGAAGCGCTCGGCCGGGCCTGTACCGATAGGGTGTCCAGCCTTCAGGCAGGGAAGTTCTAAAACAGCGTCGCGTCACACAGTTTCAGAAGGAGCTCCTTTTTTTTCTGTGGCGGCAGAACCACAATCATCCGTCGTCAGGCTGACAAGTTGTGGGATGGCTACCTGCAGCAACTCAGCAGCATAGCGAGTAAGTTTTTTTGTTTTTTCGAATTTAGTCGAAAGTTCAAGCAGTTTGCGCAGGAAAGCTGTGCAAACAAGGCAAAGCGAACATGGCGGTTCCATGGTTCTGGCCACTTTTTGGGCGATTTGTGAGGCGGTGCAGCAGGGAAACTTTGACGCCAATTATCGGGTTGCGGTTTCAGCTGGGCCTCCCAAAGATCCATATCAATGCCCTTTATTTCTTTAACTCCAAACACTGGGTATATAGTATATAGGCTATTACTAGACCTTTGGGATATCTGGGGTTTGGGTATGGGAGCTGTGAAATAGGATGCACCAAGAGGGCTTGGGGATACATGGAGATGACTATAGGTGGATTTATGAAGGACTGAATATACCCTAAACCCTAACCCCGAAATCGTAGTTTCCATTTTGTTTTCCATTCTCCCAACATACCCTAATTTGGAGTAACTGCCAAGCTACGGATCCAAACGGTTGAGCTTGGGTTCTGGAGTAGTTTGTTCAACGACTCTCCAAAAATTTTGGGGCACAATATTATGTTGTACATAACCCCTTTCCCCATGACCCGTGCCTCCACACTTGAGCTATAGACTCTTTCCTTTTACAGTTCCGGTCGCTGTAAGGTAGTGCCGCTTGCCCTTGTTCTTTGCGTTTCCCTGCACCTGAAACCCTAATCAATTGGGAGCTGGTCAAACAAGGAGATGTCTCCGCTTCCGAGTTTGCAGACCTCACTTTGGAAGAGTACGTGTCCTTGGGCCACAGGGAGACTCGTCTTGAGAAGATAGCGTCTAGGATGGGCTTGCGGAATTATCATAGGAGCTCTGTGGGGATTTTAGGCCCTTTGACTCTTGGAAGAGATTGTAGAGGTGAAAAGGGGAAACTGGTCGGTGTTCAGGCTGTTGATTTGGTGTTTGGATGCTGGATATATGAAGCTCTGAGGGCTGAGCTGGGAAAGGAACTTAACAATGCTGCCTTTAAAATCCTTGCCTAAAGGCCTCAGAGCTTGCAGTTTGTTTCATTTTTAGGTCCACAAAACCAAAACACATTAAATGGGGTCTTCCGAACGGCTTTTAGACATCGGTTTCACAAGACCCTCACATGCAGTACAGATGTAGGTGCAGAAGGTAGGTCCCAAGATCTTTACTATTGGTGGAACCCCAGAGGCAAGAAGTTGAGCCTGCTAATCCAACAGAAGCCCAGTGTATCTAGACTTGTCTCAAACTTCTAAGCTCTTTCAGCCAAGCTTAGAAGCAAAAGGCTTGCCGAAGCGGTCTTTCCCAGCCGCTTCTTGGGGCTCTCAGGTGAGCAGGACCGATGCAGAGCTACAAGCAGCGCAGAAGATTCAGGCAAGGTATCCAGCACACACCCAGGGTTTAGGGTGTAGGGTTTAGTGGTTTAGGGGTTTAAGGAGGAGGCACGTTCTTTTTCAGTGAGTGCCAAGACGAATGTACAGTAGGCAGTCGGCAGTGTCTTGATAATCCTCGGTGCTAGCGTAGGAACCTCGGCCCCCACAACATGTCAAACGGTTGCTTACCAGAAAAGAATCAGGAACAGTTACCCTAGACCCGGCCTTACCGAAGATCATGCCCGCATAATTCTTCCAAAACTTGGCATTCTGGCCAAACAGCATCGTCTGAAGAAACACGAGCTATACATTTCAGATCCAACTCACTACGCCCCATGACGCCTTGACTGACCCCACTGTCGTCGCAGATCCATGCAAGCGCTGCGACGCAAAAATCAAAGCACCCCAACCTAGTATCCCTTTTCTAATCTAATTACTGCTAACGTATGTCTGCAGCCTGTAACGCTCTACCCCTCTGAGCTTTATTGTTGGAAAGCCCGTTAATTTCAAGGTGGGGGTGACGGAACGCACCGGACTCAAAAGCCTCCGGCCCTCCAAGACCCCACACCGTGAGTAATCCGACATACCGCTTCAATCCCCAACCTCTCTACTACAGCCAAGCCCAGCTATCTAAGTCTCAGAGTTTTTTTTAACAGCCCTGCATCTCTTGTGATCCTTTGCAGGAAGGCAAAGGGCTCAACTCAAGTGAGTGCCTCATGCATGGCTACAGATGCTAGCTGCTAAGTCTTCTATGCGGAGTGCCTTAAACATAGGGCTTCAGAACACCAAGGTCACCGCAAACACTTACCCCGGCCGTACCATTGCCGCCAAAATTCACCATCTGTAGCTCCGCTGAAGCATACAGCCGTACCACCATGCCTTGACTCCAGCTATCAGTAGATTTTAAGGGTTTTGTGTCCTGAGGGCTTAAGCCTGATACGTAAGCCCTTGCTACCAAAGCCCCGCGCAGGCCGCTCTCCTTGGGCGCCAGTTTCGACTTCAGGACAATTTGGGGTCTTTCAAAACAGCGGCGTTGAGGGATGACAGGGATACAAAAGGATTATCATAGGGGCCTTATTAAGGATCAAACAGGGATTTTGAGGAAACCCCTAAAGCACATGATATGCCAGAGTTTCTCGAAACTATCCCTGGGCAACGATAGAAATGTTTCCTGATATTCTCGTTTTCATTCTGGAACTGCACCTGGTCGGCTTCAGGCTGTTGATTTGGTGTTTGGATGCTGGATATATGAAGCTCTGAGGGCTGAGCTGGGAAAGGAACTTAAAAAGGCAGCCTTTCAAAAACCTTGCCTAAAGGCCTCAGAGCTTGCAGCTTGTGTCATTTTTAGGTCCACAAAACCAAAACACATTAAATGGGGGTCTTCCGAACGGCTTTTAGACATCGGTTTCACAAGACCCTCACATGCAGTACAGATGTCAGTACAGAAGCTAGGTCCCAAGATCTTTACGATTGGTGGAACCCCAGAGGCAAGAAGTTGAGCCTGCTAATCCAACAGAAGCCCAGTGTATCTAGACTTGTCTCAAATTTCTCAGCTCTGTCAGCCAAGCTTAGAAGCAAAAGGCTTGCCGAAGCGGTCTTTCCCAGCCGCTTCTTGGGGCTCTCAGGTGAGCAGGACCGATGCAGAGCTACAAGCAGCGCAGAAGATTCAGGCAAGGTATCCAGCGCACACCCAGGGTTTAGGGTGTAGGGCTTAGGGGTTGAGGGAGGAGGCACGTTCTTTTCAGTGAGTGCCAAGACGAATGTACAGTAGGCAGTCGGCAGTGTCTTGATAATCCTCGGTGCTAGCGTAGGAACCTCGGCCCCCACAACATGTCAAACGGTTGCTTACCAGAAAAGAATCAGGAACAGTTACCCTAGACCCGGCCTTACCGAAGATCATCCCCGCATAATTCTTCCAAAGCTTGGCATTCTGGCCAAACAGCAACGTCTGAAGAAATGCGAGCTATACATTTTCAGACCCAACTCACTACGCCCCATGACGCCTTGACTGGCCCCACTGTCGTCGCAGATCCATACAAGCGCTGCGACGCAAAAATCAAAGCACCCCCAACCTAGTATCCCTTGTCTATTCTATTTACTGCCAACATATCTCTGCAGCCTGCACCGCTCTACTCCTCTGAGCCTTATTGTTGGAAAGCCCGTTAATTTCAAGGTGTTGGTGACGGAACGCACCACACTCAAAAGCCTCCGGCCCTCCAAGAACCCACACAGTGAGCAATCCGACATACCGCTTCAATCACCGACCTCTCTACTACAGCCAAGCCCAGCCATCTAAGTCTCAGAGTTTTTTTTTTCGACAGCCCTGCATCTCTCACGATCTTTTGCCAGAAGAAAAGGGTTCAACTCAGGTGGGTGCCTCATGGACGGCTACAGTTGCTAAGTCCTCTAAGCAGAGAGCCTTAAGCATAGCTCCAAAATGCACCATTTTTAGATTCCCTGAATCATACAGCCGTGACACCATGCCTTAACTCCCTATCGCCAGATACTGTTGGCCCCTGTCCGGCTACAAGCCCGCAAAGCAGATCCTAAGGGTTTAGTGTCCTGAGGGTGTACGTAAGTCTGACTACCGCAGCCCCACGCAGGCCGCTCTCCTTGGGCGCCAGTGTCGACTTCAGGACAATTTGCAATGGCTTTTAGGGATGCCAGGGATGCACAAGGATTGTTATAGGGGCCTTACTAAGGATCAAACAGGGGCTGTTTTGAGGAAACCCCTAAAGCACATGATATACCAGAGTTTCTCGAAACCATCCCGGGCAACGATAGAATGTTCCCCGATATTCTCGTTTTCATTCTGGAACATGCATGAGAACAGGCACTGCTAAGAGAAGAGTTCACAGATACCGACTAGCAACATTAGCACGCCCAGCAATGGTAGCCAGCCCCCTAAACCCTGATCCCTAGGGTTTAGGATTCAGCCAGGGGCGCATTTTTTCAGCATGGCAAACAGAACGACGGCGAAAAGAACCATGGTTTTCGATGCTATCTGTCTTGGCCAAGACATTTGTACTGGTGGTAGCAGTAGCAACAAATTGTAGTAGAAACAGTACCAGTACTACAAATGCCGCCACGACCACTGCTCGCAGTGAGGACAACAAATTGACTAATGAATGAAGCTCGGGGCTTTGACAATTCTCTGCAGTAGAACTCTGCTCCTGCACCATGATGGTGCTCCCTGTCGAAGCTTGAGATAACCTGGACTTCTTAACCTCTTGAAGAGCCCATTAATGAGCAAGCGCCTCGGACCTCTAAGCCACAAGCTCTTCTCCCTCAACGCTGACACAAACTCAGCAGGCTCAGAGCCCGGAACATGGGATTGATTGTTTTTGTTCGTCGGCTCATCAAATGCTTTGGCCTTGTTTTGCAGTCCAACAATCGTTATCCCAGGCTCATGTAAAGCAGCTATTCAAACTCGGCTAAAGGAATGTCCTACGACCCCTAAATCCGCTTTTAGCAGAGGTGAGTACCAAAGTAATGGCTTGCCTGATTCACTTCCTCATTCTACTGTAGATTTGTAGCTTCTTCTAGAAGACATATTCTGTCCTTTTCCATTTTGTGTAGGTGCATGTACTACTTATTTTATTCACTGTCCGCATACCACTTCCTGCTCAAGTTTTGCAAAGCTATTCTGTTCTATTACATGTTTGACTTCATGAGCCTGGGGTGCATGGTTCCGTTTACAGCAAGAGAACCAGTCAGTAGCAAAGTTTAGGCCATGCCAACAGGGGAGCAGGCAAAGGGCAAGTAACAGTACTAGTATTGGCTTTAAAGCATTGGAGCAGGGGTTTGAGATGGCAACGTAAATTTCAATGTGATGCTTTCATATCGTCTGGTGAACCCCACGAAGCGTGAGATCACATGTGGTATACCTACACCACCCTATATGGTCCCTATTATCATATCTCTAGAACCCGAAGACATCCTTGTAAAGCCATGCGGAATGCTTGGATCGCGCCAGGACTGGTCTCAAGCTGATATGGCCTCAGAGCAGACACTCGTCGCTGCTCCAGTGCAGACTCCCGAACAGGCTGTCTGCTTCATGCAGGATTGCTACTTAAGGAACTGAGGCCAGCCACAGAGGGTTACTGCAGCACTGTTTTTAAGGCATTGATTGTAGTTAGCCACTCCTAGTGTCGTAAGCAGAAGATGGACTCACGAGCCGTCATCTTGGCAGAGTCACTCATGCAGAGAAGCTCCCATAGGCTGCCAGGTAGATTGCAGGCATCAGGAGTTGCGGATGGCGTTTTGCGAAACCAAAAGCGCAGAATCCTCGCCACCCTGTGCAACTTCAGTTTGAAAGACTGAAGCCAGGAGACTGGGAGCTATGTAAGCTGTAGTGTAATTTCTTTAAAAGGGGTTATATGGGGGATTTTATGAGGGACCATTATAGGGGTTACTGTTCAGACTATAGCTCACGTAACATGATGGCTGGCTGATCCCTAGAGAATTGCCCGGACTTTCTCGCATGTTTGCTTGCAGCTATAGTCCTTTTGCAGGCAGCGGCCAAAATCCAAGCCGCCTATCTTGGTCGAGCTTCGCGCAATCCTACGGAAATCCTTGAGGCTGGGAGATGGATTTGGACTTGGGTTCGGTTGAGGATGTTTCTTTTTAAGGGCCTGCCAGAACTGCTAGACACGTAGATGCTATCAAGCTGATGATCTGAAACTGCCGAGCTTGTTGAATTAGAGTTATCCTCCCTCACTTCAAAGCACTACATTGTTTTCAACAAAGCGTACCCTAAACCAAAATTCGGTCACCCGCAAATGAGCTTCTTGCATCTGTGACTTTGCGACGCGTGTCTTCTTAGCTCGTACAGCCTGCTCGCCTCTGTTCACGCTGTCTCTTGCAAAATGCGACTCGCTACCGAGGAATATGCAGCACAGGTTGGACAGTCACTTTTCGTCTCAGACGGAATTGTTTTAGCTCAGTGAAGCAACCTAACCCCGCGATGAAAACACGGCGGCAACTGTAATTATCCGCAATATGACAGGGACCCGCTCCAGCGCATATCCGGCCGTGAGTGCCTTGCCACCAGATGGCCTGAAACATAGGGACCAGGAGAGCACTCCAGCCGACATCAGCGTAGTGCATCCCATAGCATGTCCTCGTAGGCCCGCTACATCGCTGCAAGAGCCGGCCTTAAACTTATGAGTGGTGAGTATTCTGATTACGTGCATAGTGTGACTGGGTTGATTCTGGCTATAACATACTAGGAGTCAGGTCCATGCTTTTGAGTTGACACTGTGAAGCACCGCCGCTACAAAGCCAGCTACCACCGCAAAAGCTAGTCTTTACGTGCTTTCCTGGTCCCCTAGGAACTAGTTGCGTGCAAGCCTAGGTCCTAGGTGATGGCCAGAAGTATTGAGAGTCGTTTACAAGGCCTGAAATTTGAGGTCTCTCGTCCCCAGAGCGTAACAGGAGGAAGAAACTACTGCTTTCATCTTGCAACATTTGAGGGGGACCTCATTCCTCTGAGAGACGTCGCAACCATCGCAAGGAAGACCGAAGGTTTTCCGGAAATACAAGAGCCACAATTGTTTCAGTCCTGATTGCTACGATTCTGAGAATTTCCGGCATCACCACCTATATGTCTTCAGCTGATAATAGCTACTATGACTTTTCTTGCTGCCATGACTTTGGGTCTCACGTGCCTTTGAATTCATTGGCACTCTTGTCGTAGTTGACCTCCTGAATGGGTGGCACTGACCTGACTTCGCAGCTTCACGAGCCTGCACAGGCGCGCGACGTTATGACCATTCTCTTGCGAAGAAATCTGAAGCATGTGGATGCCAAGGGGCCAACGCAGAGGGATAACACAGGCGTCTTTCTTTAACTGAGGAGCGTTGAAAAACAGATCCGAAACTTGCAGCAGAGGTCCCCACGATCAAAGAGACTTCGCCCAAACCCAAACCATAACCTCTTAACACTACCCCTTGAAACCCTAAGCCATTAGCACTAAAACCTCCACCCTGTAAACCTAAACGGGCAAACCCCTAGGTTTCTGCGGCGGCCATTTCTTAAGTATACACGCAAGTCACGAAACACTAGCAGGCGTGGGCTTTGGGGACATCTGGAAATAATGGGGCAGTGTTTGGGATAGTGAGGTTTTGGGAAAAACAACTTTCACACTCCTCAAAGGTTTGCAAAGGGGGGAGCTGCACCCCGCCCAATCCCGCCTCCCACACATCAGCCCGTACCACGTCGAATAAGGATCCTCATCAACAACTCCCACATTCCTCAATGATTTGCAAGATAGGGGGCGGAGTAATCCCACACCAAGAAGTCCAGATCCTAACAACTTTAGACAAACCTAAACCCTTCAAACATGTAATCATACAACCCTAGAAGCCGTAAACCCCAAAATCCCTAATCGCCCTAAACCCTCAAAACCCTAAACCCTAACAAACCCGAAAACCCTAAACCCTGAAAGACCAAAACCGAAAAATCACTAAATCTCAACAAGCCTAAAACCCCTAAACCGTTGTCACAACAAAAAGCCCTAAAAGCCCTTATAAACACTAAAACACCCTAAGCCCTCAAAATCCCAAAGCCCTAAACCCTGAAAACCCCCAAACTCCCACAGGGGTCTGGGCTAACCGAAACCCTATTTGGTAGCTTCCATAAAATGGCGGGGGGATCCGGGAATAGAACCCAAAAATACTGTGATCCATATTATATGATGACTACCAAGATGGTACTAGGGTTTAGGGTTTAGGGTTAGTTTGGGAAACCCGATAAACCTTAACCCCTAATTAGGCCCCCCTTATGCTCTTTAAAGGTACCCCTAATTTTAAGCAGGCATTCCCAAGCCAGGTCTAGGCAGTAGCGACTCTGGGGTTCAAAGGGATATATGGGTAAGGGTTTTATGGTTTATGGTTTTTTGGTTTAGAGTTTAGGTTTTTAGGGTTTAGGGTGCAGAGTTTAGGGTTTTAGGGTTTAGGGTTTTATGGTTTGGGGTTTAGAGTTTAGAGTGTTAGGGTTTGGGGATTAGGGCGTGGTGTGGTTGGAAGTTTTCGTCAAGGACCAAGATTTGAGAACCCTGCATCAAGGTTAGAAGGGGATATGAAGGACTTGTGAGTTTTCAAAAATAAGGGCCTTTCTCGGGAGTCCCTAGAGTAAGGATCACTGCTTCATATGTTGGGTTCGATATTGGGGCACCAAACCCCATCCCCTAGACCCTACTTCACCACTATGAGCGTGTGCAAATGGACATATCGGTCAGATTTGCTCCCTTGCTGGGGAATTAGCATCTTCACAGGGTTTGTGTGACTTTGCAAGAGGAGATTACTGCGGTAGTGGCCATTCAGCAGGTGGTATTTGGGTTGCTTCTAGACTCCTAAAGTAACCTGGGTTGCTGTTAAGGAACTTAAATTAAGTTACTATATTGGGGAAACCCTATTATTTACTTTATATGCCCATTATGGTCACTTAATTTAAGGTCCTTAACAGCAACCCAGTAACTAGGCAGCAAGTTCCTACTTTGCTAGACAGGTTGCGGGAACCTTCCCTTTGCAGAGTTGAACCGGGAAGCTTGCAAGCTTGTTACGCACAAGTGAACTGAGATCTTGAAAAGCCGGGGTTCCCTGCCTAAACCCTAAGCCCTTGTTGCAGATCAAAGGTGAAGTTCTAGCTTCTCCCCAAGCGCCACTTCTGCTGGATGTGTGCCTCGGTATTGGATCAGCTTGCTCGTGTGGATGGCCAGTGAAGGCTCCTCATAGGTTTGAGGCATCAAGAATTCTGTAAGTTCCAAACCTCAGGCCCTCACAAGTGCACACAAAAGCATACGGAATATCGATGATATGGGGGCAAAGGTTTCTAAAATCTTGAAAGGATCAATTTATCAAGGCGTCGTACTGCATGTGTTGCTTCCATATTGGCGAAGTAAATCCTGCGCTGTTATATTCTTGGTTAGGGGTCCAAACGACCCCCCACGAGGACCACTCTGCTCTCATGAGGCTTCCCCATGGCTCTTCGTGAGATCCCAAAGGATCACATTTCGACACATACTCATACAAATCATACGAAGCATGGCAGATCCATGATGGGCATTCAATACGATAGCATGTTGACTGTTCTTATCACTCCACTGTTCTTATCACTCCTGGTGCTGCAAGAGTTTCTTGACGGTTTTCTGCCGAAGCCGACGTTCCAGGATGCTGAAGGCATGCTTGCTTAATCATGCAAGCATCCTACAAGTTTCGACATGGTTGAGAAGACATATAATGTAGTATAATATGGTAAGATATAATATGATATACTACAGTTACCCTGACATAGTATATTATGTTATATTAGAATATATTGCAGTATATTACAATATCCTGGAGTCCATAAACCTCAAAGCCTTGCAAGGTATGCCACATGGTGTGGACCTTGCAAGCCTCTTGGGACTGGACTTCAGATCAGCCAGCGCTCAAAAGGGACAGCTTCTTCTTTTGCTAGGCAGCTTTGGCATACTGCTCACGAAAGCCTTGCACGAAGCCAGCACAAATCAACACTTGCCTTTATGCCTGCACCAAGCCAGCACAAATCAACCAATGCAATTACTAGCCTTTCGGTATGTGCCAGAATCAGGGGTCGGTACAGTGAAGTCTTCATTATTTGCTTTCGAGCGTATATGAGACCTTCGAGATTGTGACTTGGGATGAGCTCCTTGGAGAAGGTCAGGAATCTGTTTAGGGTTTAGGGTTTAGGGTTGAATTCGGCGATGTGCTAGATTTACCCAGAGGAGGAGCCCCCACCCATGCCCTCTTCCCAAGGGATCCTTAGCTCAAGCCCTGAACCACAACCCCTGAACCATCCCTCAATACCTTTCCTCATATACTACACTATAGTAGTTTCCATTTTCTGTTCCATTATCCCAAGAGAGCCCCAATATACTATAGTAGTTCTTCCCCTCACCCTAAACCCTAAACCCCCTTTTTGGAATCCTGAGGTTCATGGAACCTGAGATGGCCAAAGTAGCGAGGAGAGTAGGCGACAAGGTGCCAATGCAGGGGTTCTAGATGACTCTTAGGTTTAGAGTCTGGAACGTTACAGGGCCCCCATTTTTACGGTGTTTTTGGCTGGTTTAGGACGTTCTAGGTGCATTTCTTGGGCCCAGTAACGTACCTTTCTGTAGGTTTAAGGCCTTAGGAGCTCAAGATTTGGGAGCTAGCAAACATGGCATTCTAAGTTGTAGGTTATGGTTACATAGGACCACCCTATGTTCAGACTACGTGTATCTTCTGAAGTCCCATTCAGAGTGGTTATCGATTAGCTGGTTAGCTGTGGCGGGTCGCAAAGTTTCTCATCTGCTCGAGAACTTCTGTGTGTTGACGGTCTGCAGCAAGGGACAGGCAAATGCAAGTTCTAAGGGGTGGGGGGTAAGAGCAACCCAGGTAAGACAACTATGAGCGAGATAGTCAAGCCCACAAGCAACGCTGCTTCAGACGAGATTCCAGAATGGGGCCCCGTTGCACGCCATATCTATATGCAAAGTGTATCCTGGTTATTATGATCAGGAAATTATGCCTGGAATTGGCAAGTGGGGTTGAGGCCTGTAGTAGGGTGTCTAGGCACCAGGTGCATGGCAGAGGCTTTGCACAGCACTCAGCTAGGAAAAAGCATTCTATATACCCCCACTCCATGGTTACCCTGTGTCTGCCTATTGCGGAACGCCTCTAAGAAAATCTGACAACTCTTCAGAAATTTCAGCCCAAGTCAGACAGGAAGCTGGGTGTCAGCTTACCAAGTGAGGAGCCAACCTTACAAAGTCCCGACCTGTTAAAAAGCGCTTGAGCTTTACCTTTTAGTAATAATATTAATCTCACGCCTGACTTCCCAAATCCCAAGCCCAACCCGTACACCTCAACCGCCAAGCTCTAAACCTGAACCCCTCAAAGCCAAGACTGCGCAGCATTCATGAGTAGAGGTGCTGCTGGCCAAGCTAGACTCTGATGAGGAAAACGAAGTTTCGGATGAGCTGCTCTGACTGCCTAGCCTAGGGAGACCCAACGAGCTCAGTTGGAGCATTTCTCT